TATGTGTACTGTAACAGTATGATATCATACTGCTGTATGTATGGTATCATACTGCTGTTATGGTGTACTGTAACAGTATGAGATAATACTGCTGTATGTATGGTATCATACTGCTGTTATGGTGTACTGTAACAGTATGAGATAATACTGCTGTATGTTTGATGTCATACTGGTTGTTATGGTGTACTGTAACAGTATGAGATAATACTGCTGTTATGGTATCATACTGCTGTTATGGTGTACTGTAACAGTATGAGATAATACTGCTGTTATGATATCGTACTGCTGTTATGATATCATACTGCTGTTATGGTGTACTGTAACAGTATGAGATAATACTGTCGTTATGGTATCATACTGCTGTTATGGTGTACTGTAACAGTATGAGATAATACTGCTGTTATGATATCATACTGCTGTTATGATATCATACTGCTGTTATGGTGTACTGTAACAGTATGAGATAATACTGCTGTTATGATATCATACTGCTGTTATGGTATCATACTACTGTTATGGTGTACTGTAACAGTATGAGATAATACTGCTGTATGTATGGTATCATACTACTGTTATGGTGTACTGTAACAGTATGAGATAATACTACTGTATGTATGGTATCATACTACTGTTATGGTGTACTGTAACAGTATGAGATAATACTACTGTATGTATGGTATCATACTACTGTTATGGTGTACTGTAACAGTATGAGATAATACTACTGTATGTATGGTATCATACTACTGTTATGGTGTACTGTAACAGTATGAGATAATACTACTGTATGTATGGTATCATACTACTGTTATGGTGTACTGTAACAGTATGAGATAATACTGCTGTATGTATGGTATCATACTACTGTTATGGTGTACTGTAACAGTATGAGATAATACTGCTGTATGTATGGTATCATACTACTGTTATGGTGTACTGTAACAGTATGAGATAATACTGTCATTATGGTATCATACTGGCTGTTATGGTGTACTGTAACAGTATGAGATAATACTGCTGTATGTATGGTATCATACTACTGTTATGGTGTACTGTAACAGTATGAGATAATACTGCTGTATGTATGGTATCATACTACTGTTATGGTGTACTGTAACAGTATGAGATAATACTGTCATTATGGTATCATACTGGCTGTTATGGTGTACTGTAACAGTATGAGATAATACTGCTGTATGTATGGTATCATACTACTGTTATGGTGTACTGTAACAGTATGAGATAATACTGCTGTATGTATGGTATCATACTACTGTTATGGTGTACTGTAACAGTATGAGATAATACTGTCATTATGGTATCATACTGGCTGTTATGGTGTACTGTAACAGTATGAGATAATACTGCTGTATGTATGGTATCATACTACTGTTATGGTGTACTGTAACAGTATGAGATAATACTGTCATTATGGTATCATACTGGCTGTTATGGTGTACTGTAACAGTATGAGATAATACTGTCATTATGGTATCATACTGGCTGTTATGGTGTACTGTAACAGTATGAGATAATGCTGCTGTATGTATGACGACCCGTACCACACGAGGAATATCAGTCTTCCTCTGTTGTGTTGCAGTGATTGATCCATATTTCCGAATTAATAGAACTGTATTGATACTAGGTACCTTTGTAGGTTTCCTTGCTGAGAAACACTTAGCTATGTAAACAACAGCTCCCATTTAATATTCCATAGTCTGTTTCAGTTTTGGCTTAAGTGAATGTCTGCTGTATTTAATTCTATAGATATATCGGCGGCACAGTTTATATCTCACCTGATCATACATCATTTCGATATATTGTAGCTAATAACTTATCACTACACATAACATGATATATTACACTGGCTAGTTATCACTACACCTAACATGATATATTACACTGGCTAGTTATCACTACACATAACATGATATATTACACTAGCTAGTTACCACTACACCTAACATGATATATTACACTGGCTAGTTATCACTACACATAACATGATATATTACACTGGCTAGTTACCGCTACATCTAACATGATATATAATACTGGCTAGTTACGGCTACACCTAACTTGATATATTACACTAGCTAGTTATCACTACACCTAACATGATATATTACACTGGCTAGTTACCGCTACACCTAACATGATATATTACACTGGCTAGTTACCGCTACACCTAACATGATATATTACACTGGCTAGTTATCACTACACATAACATGATATATTACACTGGCTAGTTATCACTACACATAACATGATATATTACACTGGCTAGTTACCGCTACACCTTCCTCGTTATATTACACTGGCTAGTTACCGCTACACCTTCCTCGTTATATTACACTTACTAGTTACCAGCACACATTTCATATTGTTTCACATTGTAGATAGTTACTGCCATACCTTATTTGTTTTATTACATGTTAAATCATGCACAGATTGTAGGTAGTAATCTCCTTATTGAACTTGTATAACATTAATTCTAGTTATTTCTGTACATTACTCGTTGTATTACATTGAAGTTAGTGATTGTCATAGACAACATGGTTTATATCTACATACCTAAGATATTATATTATGTGTATATCTACATACCTAAGATATTATATTATGTGTATATCTACATACCTAACATATTATATTATGTGTACATCTACATACCTAAGATATTATATTATGTGTATATCTCCGTACTTTACATATTGTATTATGTGTATATCTACATACCTAACATATTATATTATGTGTATATCTACATACCTAACATATTATATTATGTGTATATCTACATACCTAAGATATTATATTATGTGTATATCTACATACCTAACATATTATATTATGTGTATATCTACATACTTAAGATATTATATTATGTGTATATCTCCGTACTTTACATATTATATTATGTGTATATCTACATACCTAACATATTATATTATGTGTATATCTACATACCTAACATATTATATTATGTGTATATCTACATACCTAAGATATTATATTAGGTGTATATATCTCCGTACTTTACATATTATATTATGTCTATATTTCCATACCTAACATATTATATTATGTCTATATTTCCATACCTTACAAATTGTATTATGTGTATATTGTACCTAGGTACCTCCATCTCTAACGTGGCAGCTAGGTGTCTTTTTAAACCTTATATGAGATGTTATTCCCAGAAACAAGTTGCCATATTTTATCAAAGCTAACGATATAGATAAGTGAGAAACCTGTTCCACCCTGCTAATGTATTGTTTATCTTAACAAGGAGCCGGAAACACTGATGTGAACATCATAGCTAAACCGCCTAACTAGCACCACAGGCAAACTCAAACTGGACAATGATATATCAATTTGTCTATGTATTATCTACATCTAACGCTATATCACCGCTATGCAATCGAGCACCTGAGCATGATACTTACGCAGTGTATGCTTTCAAAAGGTTTTATGTTTAAAAAGCTTTCAAATATTTTAGTACTAAATCGTCTGACTCAAAAATGTGATCAATACAAGTCAGTGACTGGCTTGACCGTCACCTCTTCGATACAACTGTCAGTTCTTGTGTAATTGGCATACTTTGTGATGAATTACAAGGAGAATTGGAACTGAAAAATCTTTATGTTGCACGATATGTACTTGGCATAAAAACAACCTCGCAGTTCGTATGTGTATGGGTAACGGGGTTAAGATTTTGTACGGAGTATTATTTTGAGAAACCCAATGAACAGTATATGTTGTTGACTGTTAAACACCGGATTTACCCTCAGGGACCTCTGAAGTTCGATAGTGTTATCACAATTACATAAGCCTTGTCTCATGTCAGACAGGGTGCACAAAACGAAACCCAGACGTGTGTACAAAACTTTCTATAAATACAAAGATCGAACTCCAAAGATAGTGGTTTATACCGTCAGGTCAGACGGACCACACCAGGTAGTTGTTTCGGAGGCGGTTGTCAGTAGTTTAAACATTTTATTTTTATATAGCAACCTTATGGTAAAAAGAAGCCCTTCTTCTGGAAACCTCCTCAAAAATCTGACCAGAGAGTGCCTGTATTCAGTGAAACTGACCGCTATGTACGTATTCGTACTGGTGCAAATGCACGTGACTTGACGGAGATAACATAGTATGTTCCCCCACGGTAGTGTGTAACGACTGGTTCCATACCACAGGTCCCAAACCCTCGCATCGGCAAGTTCCGCTTCAGTTCAAATTCTGTCCAGGTTTAGATTAATTTTTCCCTAACCAACCCAATTCCAAAGGTGAAAATCTGATCTGATCTGTACTGTATTAAGAATCCCCTGTCCTATTTAAACTGACCCAAGCACACTCAACAGTCTCTGTGGTATGGACCGTATGTTACACGAGATTGTGTGTTGTTATGGTAGACTCTAAATGGCATGTGACTAGATGGTGTTCTTGTTAAATGGGGAGGAGTTTTCTCATCCTTCACGCTTTATGCTGTGTGAATGGTGTGTGTTGTTTCGGTGGCAGCATGGCAGGGGTTGTATAATATCGCCACAGCACGGGTTGTAAAGGTGGCATTTTGGTGATGGTGGTGGTGGTACGTTAGTGTTACCTGTTGCTGTTAGCAATGCTTTTGAAATAATACACGAAGCTGTTTGTAGGAGGTAATTCAGCCACGAGAAGACGTGAACGACTCGGGAACATAACGTTAACATGAAACCAATGTTCTAATGACGAATAAACAAAAAGTTATCATTCCGTGTACTCATCATCCTCAGAGACATATATAACACACGTGTTATATACGTCTCTGTTATCCTCCATGGTTTCAGATAAGTTTTTAAGTCTTAAACTTAACTAAAAAATAAAGATGTTGCAAAACCCTGAAAACATTTGTTTACCTGTTTAATAAATTAATGAAGGAAATGAGCATTTCATAATGATAGTGGGGTTGTGTTACTGTGTGTGTCTTATAAACTAACTGTTCTGTCATTCCTTTCCAGCCTGTCGTAGGGAAGATTCAACTTACCCCGACTACCCACACTGAGATAAGGTCAAAGTCTGTGATGTCACGCAACGTCGGCTATTTCACGAATGCCCGGATGTCCCCGGATTCTATACGGACGGCGCAGACGGCGCCGGAAGGGATTGTGTACCCTAATATCATCAATGAATCAGACTACGATGACATTACTGTCCTTCCCCCACCTAAAAAAGTCCTCCCGCGTCGGGAAGTGCCGTGGGTCTTTAGATATAAGGTGAAACGTAATATGAACGAATTGGCCAAGATTCTGGCGAGTAAAGCCCCACAACCTGTTGTGGACCAAGCGTCATGAAAGTGGGGTTTACTAGGCGTTGGACCAGGGCTCCTGAAAGCGGTACTAGTCTGACCAAAAATGTAGGGCCAATGGCTCCTTGTGATATTAACGTTCAGCGTTATGGATTATTGAGATTTTCAGATTAAGGGTAGCGGTTTATCAGTATATAGGCACTGTGACAACAAGCGTATTCACCGGTACGTATGTAGTAACCGTTGTCCAAGGTTTCGTATGTATATACGACACATCAGCAATACTCCGAACAATAGACACTTACGCATGTACAAATCAGGTTTGACAGTTCTGTTAGCATACTTATTTATCATTAATTGTCGTAACGATTATTTAAATGGCTGTCCCTTCAATATGTGTACCGTAAATAGGGAAATCAGCACGGGACCTATCGAGTGGAAATGTCAATGTGTTTTGTTCAATAAAAATAGTAGTTTGTACTAGCTAGGTCGCCAAACAACATTACACTCGTCACTGACTCCCGAGTCAAACCACTTCAATAACACGGATTCAACTTATTCATATTAAGTCCTGTCTCGCCTCCTAACTTTGAATGAGATTTGTCAATTTATTGACACCATCGTCTGTTTAAGAACAGGTCGTTTTGGAGCATTGATGTAAAAAGTCATACATAAAAACTAACTTTAAAACCTAATATGAAAACATGAACATTCCCGCGAGTGAATATAACCCCCAGTTTAAATTGGGGTTTCTGTCCGACTGGTTGTGAGTGACTAACTCGAATTATTGACCTGTTTATCGTGTCCATGATGTTAACGTCGTCCGACATATGAACTAAGTTATAAGAACATAATTAAACATAATCATATACATATATCTAAGTCGTTTTGGTTTTTATTTAAGTAGTCAAACACTGGAGAAAGTATTCATCGGAGATCTGGTTTACGTCTGGGTTAGGTCAACGAGCCACCATCTTTGCTAGCTGAGGGTGTTCGATACCCTCCATGACACCGCGTGCTTTAAGTACTGAAAACCCTTGGGCTTCCCATACTTCTCAGAACGACCGAGAGCAAACACACTGTAAACCCTTCGGAAACCAAGTAGGGCTTGAGCCGTCCAGAACTAAGAAATCCTTGGGAACCAAACAATAGAATTAGATTAAATTCTAAGCTTGTTTTCTCATCCCATATATAACACATGTATGTGTAATATTGTTGAATATTGTTTTAACTAACAGTGTAGATACCGCGAGAACCAAATACAGTGTAGAGTCCCCCAGGAATTTGGAGAATCAAGAATGATGCTAACACAATCAGAAGACTTGCGTGTGACGTTCGATGACTACACGGTCATCTTAATAAGACAAGTGTGGAGCGTTGTAGCCCTTACGTATAATGCACCGTGGCAGGTTCTTTAAAAAATCTCATTATCGAATTCTTCAACGAGAGATTATGATACAACCCGACCTCTTAAGCTCATAATACGACTTATGCCTTCTATTTCTCATAATCAAAATCCTTATTTTCAAATAACAAGAACCTACAGGGCCTGTATGGATCGCCCGAATCTTATAGCCCAGCAATGTTCTACATGCCTATAGATTGGGTATTTCAAATGTTCTTAAATAAAAGCTCAGTTACTTAACCTCTTTGATGGGACAAGACCATTGAGTAAATTCTGGAGCAAGATTTTAAAGCATTTGCTCCATCTATTTATTTATCCTATTGGGCACCGTCTTCCTGCCCTAAGCAGGAGGGGGTAGGGGTTGAGGGACGCCGAGATCCACCATTTACACAAAACTGGTCCCTTTTCACCACAGTTAGGTAATTTCCAATTATTCCTACCAGAGATGTAGGACTTTAAAGAATTTGTTCTATTCCCCTATTGGGCCCCAAGATCCGCCGTTTATACAAAACTGATTCCCCTTCAACCAAATTTGAGCAAAATTCCATCAATTCTGCAGAAGTATTTTAAAGAACTTTCCAAATTTCCCCTTTTGAACCCCGGACACGCCATTTATGCAAATAATGTTTCTCTTCCCCTAAGGATGCTTCTGACACTATTTGTCCCTGGCAATCAGTTCAGTTTTATATTTACGTCTATAAGAGGGATGCTATTTCCGAGGGATATGCTTGACCTATGGCCGTAGAACAATGGTATAGCGGTAAGACAACAGATACAAAGCAGATGAAGGTATTCAATGTTTTATTATATCTTTATAAACATTTGATACAAAGGTAATCATATACACTACTTATGTACACGACTACTACAATATCTTCTCCAGTGTAGACACAGGTAATAAACACTTACTCCAGCAGGATACAAATTGTGTCCACTGATATGTAGATTCAATCCACAATCAGAATTTGAATGTAGTACCCCTGTAGTAATACACTTTCATATGCCAGTGCAAAACTGATGTACAAGGTGAAGGATGATCCATCAACATAGTGACTTGCCAGGAAATATGACAAAAAAATACATGACTGCATAAAGCTGAACTTCTCGAATAAGAATGTTTATATCCTAAAGATGTCCTAACCAGAAATGTAAACACTGGTAGGCAGTTTTAGGTTAATTCAATATACAGAATCTTCACTCCAGCATTTATGAAAGTCCAATGAAATATCATCAGATATTGCCTTAACAATGTATCAGATAGGCAAGTCTTTGGTGAAATTTTAGGACAAAGAAATCTAGGTCCAAGAGATAAAATTCTTGAATGTCCAGCCAGAGGCTTCAGTTTCAATTGTATAATTAATACAATTTAAGTTATGGAGAGACCACAAAAACGTTTTTTTGAAAAGCTCTCTCTTAAAGTGTAACATATTTCTGGAAATAAACGACAGGCAATCCATAATTAAAACAAAATGTATTACCAGTGTTTTCCCATTCTGACTCCATAAACTTATTCTAAAATTATCGCATATCATTTACATTCAAAATAATTCTGCCCATCGATTCCATATCTAACAAATGAGATAAAAGTTTCACGTTGAGCACTACACAAACCAGGAACTATAAAAATACCCATCTGTTTAGCATCGCAAGCTGCATGCAGTATAAAATATACGCAAATCAACAAATTGGGAATAGGTTTTATTTTTTAACTTCTTCATTCTCTCACTTTTCGAAAGTGACATCGTTCCTTTTTTCATCGATTCTTTTCATGATTTTCTTTTTAAAAATTTGCAATATACACATGACATTAGACAATATAAACATTTGTATATATATATAACGAACCTTCAATGTGTGGACATTCAATCTGAAATAGAAACACATTTAACAAAATGTATATACCACTTTTACCTCTCCAAACATGACTTACACATTATCACAGATAAAGAACTTCTCTACATATGCACATTCCTCTCACACACACACATCGATCAAGCACTAAAACTCTCTGAAATAAAGACAGTGTAATTACTACTCTCTCTTGTACTTCAAAACATAGCCATGTTCATTATGGAAAACAAGTTCGTTTTTTTCCTTCACAGAACAGCAATTAATTTCTTCCCGGGCTGAAAATAAAGAGAAAGTTGTCCAAATTTGAAACACTCATGTACATAAATAATCTTCATCTGAAAAAGAAATTTTTCAAGAGTTTTAAAGTTCAACTGCACAGCATTGTAGAGCATGTTCTCAGAAGTGTTCCTCAGGAATCCTCAACAATAAGTTCAGCATACAAGTCTTAGCAGTTGAGAATTTCTTACACTTGCTCCATTTCCACACATTTATTCACTTAGTATTGTCATATGAAGGATGATGTAATTCAGATACTGAGCAGACATCTCTTTCATTGCCTTTACAGAACCAATTGTTTATGATGACAAAATGACTGCTTCTTGGCATCAATGAGAATGGGAGAAAGCTGATCTATGAAAACCTGATCCTTGGGTAAGAAAATGTTCATGAGCATTAATACAAAAACAGCAACATACAAATACACACAAACATGACCAAGACTGGCGAGATTCATGGGACAGGAAGGAATGGTGCGACATCACGGTAAAGACTGCTGGCCAATAGCTATTGGACTAGTCACATCTACCTCCCAAGCTAACTAACGCATGGAAGATAGATCTGACCATCTGTAGACGTGGGTATCTCTCACCTTCCACTTCCAGGATCTGGGTAATGCCATTATGCTGCTGGTTATTAATCAAAACTTTTGACTAAAGCAAATAGGAGGCTTCATCTTGATAAAATCCTCATCATAACAGGTGCATTACCAATTTCTCTGGTGAAAATAACTCCCAGGATTACATAAGGCACGGTTTACAGTTTTTATAGCAGCGTCTTCTAGCACGATTAAGGGTGTAAAACATACTTTTTGGAAACCTCATTGCTGTTGCGCGAGCGCTATAAATGATGAAAATAATTACAATTAAAAACTCAAGATTTGATTTGAACAAGATGAAAATCCTGAAGTCCATGAAATTTGTGTTGTCTCTGATATTTGATAAACTGGTGTGATCAATTCTGATTTTACTTTGATTCCAGCATCACGACACGATACAGCTCCATATCAAAAAGGAAATTCATTAATTTCTTACTCAAGTCTGGAATACGGATTCTCCTCACATGAAATACAAATTTATAGACTTCATCCTGGATACTTCTTCCACGCGTGTAATTTCCATACAGAATTATTTGGATCATTTATCAACATTGACAGGGTGCTGGCACACGATATACTATGAAAGTCTTTGCCTTGGATTTCTGGTTTGATATTTTGACTAGAATTGATACCTATGATAAACCCTCTTCCCGGAATACGAAAAGGACCTGCCTTTTACTTATCAAGTCAATCTACAAAGCCTGAATTATTGTTGCACACGTTTTACAGTCCACTTTGGTTCCATCAGGAGTCAAGATCGCTCCCTTTTCCTTCAAGAATACTATACAATCCTCCACATTTTGGAAGCCTAATTCAGCCTGGACGTAATCTACGGGCAGCATTGGGCGATATCTACACATGATCATACAAATTTGGTAGAAGGGCGCACATGTGCAGAAATGGTCGAATGGTCATGGGATAAAATGAAAAAGAAGAGAAAAGAAAACAATGTTAAGACATAAAAATACACACACAATTTATTTTGCCTTCATTTACGTTTTAAATTTCAAGAAACCTTACCTGTAACTTTCAGAAATCATTTGTATCATTAACTTGTTAAAACGTTACCTTAAATCAAAATGTGCAATCATTCAATGTCAGCTGATCACATATACTTACCATACTTACCCAAAACATTCAGGCTTCATCTTAGGCATGGTGAAAAAATCACTTTGGTTAAAGGAACAAAAACAACATCCCCAGGACAGATAAGATCTTGTTCAATATCACACATACTGATGTAACAAAACTTGTATAACAATTTCAGATTTCCTGGCTTTGTATGAGATAAATCTATTTTTATATTGATATCTTTATCTCTATTTTTATATTGATATCTTAAACTGGAAAAAATGTCTTAAAACTAAGACTTAAAACATTAGAAGTACCTATTATCAAACAGTGTAAAATTGGAATGTCCAAATCATGTTTTGGGCAACAGAAATGGAACATATTATAAAAAATACTTTGCAGCAGAAATATATTAATGAAATAAGATAATGAAAACATTGGTACGTACGACTTCACAATTGTCTTCAGTGCCGTTTTCCTTGCTCTGTCAACAAACCAGTCCAACAAATAGCCAGACATTCTTGGCGCATGACTGTACAATTTGAAAAATTTGTGAAAATTATTCAAGGCCCAAGCAGACCTAACTTTTAATGCAAACGACACACACTCATCTTGCCTGCAAGTTGAAGTAAGAGATGCCAAGGCAGTTGTCATATCTTCAAAAGGTCAAGGACAAATAATCATAACAGATCACTGATGCGAAAAAAAAATATTCATACATATTTTGAACTTGAAATAAAATTCGGCTATATTATGTACAGGCACAGTACTGGGGAGGAGATAAAAAGACCAGATTATTTACAGACAGATCACTTATTAAGCAAATGGTCTGTTTTAAAAGCAGCCATCCTATGTGGGGTGTGCTTATAGGGTCGAGCCAGCTTGTTAGTTCCTGATATTGAACACCAGGTAATATACATTTCAAACTACTTCCTGAAGCATTGTCATTTGCTGAATCGTTCCTATAAAATAGTTTTCTTACAAATCTTTAGAAGTGTCGCCTACTGAAGTCAAATCAAAGAGCTAGATAGACGGAGGTTAGTTACAAGTGTCCAGGGTCAGTGTCGTGGAATTTTATAATTACTATGCTTTGTTTCAATGACTGAAAATCTGTTATTCTATAAAACAAAGCCAGGAGACAGATTTCTATACAGGAGACAGTTGAGATCATTATTATCTGATGTACACTAAGTAGGACTAAAACGTATGTTGTGGTTTCTATCAGGTTCAAGGACTAAATAAGGTGTGTGGAGATATTTCAACTTTTCTAACTGTATGTATGGATATTTTCTTGTTATTATTATTACTGTCACCTTGGGTCATACATCTAACAATGATAAAAATGGTAAGAATCTGTCATGAACACCGGAAAGGATACCGAGCGTGTTAGATGTGAAGATATAGTAAAGAATCCTATAGGCAAGGAACTCCAGCTGGTTTCCGTGTAAACCTTCCTGGTAGAGCAGCTTTAACTGGGTCTGGCATTGGTTGAACTCTTCATGATCTCCCTACAATCAGTTTAAAATATGTTTATTTCATCAGTACAAGGTATCAACTTCATCATTCTCAATAACTGTGTTATATATATCTACGTCAGAGCTGCAAACATTACTCCAAGAATAACACTTTTGAATTCATTCAGAATTCCAAAACAAAAACAAGGTACTACTGACTAAAGAGTCTCAGCAAAACATTTAATGTTATTTCAGGTCTAGGTTGATTTTAAGGCACCAATACAAACATGTGTGAAATACTCTATTATTGCCTATTTCTGGGCCATGTCTTGATAACAACAAGAGGCCTAGCGGATACAGGTTAAAGGATAGTTATCAAATGTCATGAAACAGAAATTGTGACACTGAATATAGTAAGCCAGTGTCCATACATGCATACCATCAAAACTGTCATTCTACACTGATGATTCTTATAAAGTTATTTCCAGTGGCAAATAGCCAATGTTATGCTCAAAAAGGCAATCTTTCAATGAAACTTACAGTAAAGTCTAAAATAAATAATCCTCCCCAGGAAGAAATGCTTCCATTCATGAAGAGCATTTGATTATACCATATCTGGGTGTTGAGAAGAAGATTTTTGAAATTTAAGTCAATTGGCCCCTTTTGGCCCCGCCTATCAGCCCCTGGGGGTCAGTCAGGATCAAAATGGGCATACCATCAGGCCGTCACAATTCACTCATAATTTTAACCAAGTTTGAAATATTTCCAAAGGAAATTAAAACAAATTATGTTCAAAAATCTAGTGGGGACTGTATAATTAACAATTTTCGTTCGTCTTAAGCCAGGAAAAGTTTCTGCAAAATTTCACTGAAATCAGATCAGGGGTTTTTGAGAAGTCAAAAGTGTTAAATTGTTTGACGAATGATTGCCTGAGAAATTGAAGAATGTTTACCACTACTTTGTAGCATCTGATCGGCAGAGGTTATCTCTTTATATATGGTTGAAACTTTTACAGCAGTTTAAGCAGATGTCATTCAAAACAAGGGACGAACTCAGCAAAATGTGAATGCTCCATCTAATAGCAAAATCTGAATACTCTATTTAATAATAAAATCTGCATACTTTTTCATAGCAAAATCTGAACACCCCATTTAACAGTAAAATCTGAACACCCCATTTAACAGTAAAATCTGAACACCCCATTTAACAGCAAAATATGAATACCCCATTTAACAGTAAAATCTGAACACCCCATTTAACAGTAAAATCTGAACACCCCATTTAACAGTAAAATCTGAATACCTCATTTAACAGTAAAATCTGAACACCCCACTTAACAGTAAAATCTGAACACCCCACTTAACAGTAAAATCTGAATACCCCATTTAACAGTAAAATCTGAATACCCCACTTAACAGTAAAATCTGAGCACCCCATTTAACAGTAAAATCTGAATACCCCATTTAACAGCAAAATCTGAACACCCCATTTAACAGTAAAATCTGAACACCCCATTTAACAGTAAAATCTGAAAACCCCATTTAACTGCAAAATCTGAATACCCCACTTAACAGTAAAATCTGAATACCCCATTTAACAGTAAAATCTGAACACCCCATTTAACAGTAAAATCTGAACACCCCATTTAACAGTAAAATCTGAACACCCCATTTAACAGTAAAATCTGAACACCCCATTTAACAGCAAAATCTGAATACCCCATTTAACAGTAAAATTTGAATACCTCATTTAACAGTAAAATCTGAACACCCCATTTAACAGTAAAATCTGAATACCCCACTTAACAGTAAAATCTGAATACCCCATTTAACAGTAAAATCTGAACACCCCATTTAACAGTTAACAGTAAAATCTGAACACCCCATTTAACAGCAAAATCTGAATACCCCATTTAACAGTAAAATGTGAATACCTCATTTAACAGTAAAATCTGAATACCTCATTTAACAGTAAAATCTGAACACCCCATTTAACAGCAAAATGCTTGTCATGACATTTGGTTATGAATCCTTTCGAGATAAAGATTGGACAAACAGTAACCAACATTTCAATTGACAAAGTCGATTTAAGGAAAGTATGGTATAAAAGTTCTGAAATACACACCTTCTCTAGTGCGACACGGGCATGTGTCTCGTACACCTCCACTGTAAAGCTGGTCCGGATACCCTGCACCTAAACCAAAACTTCAGGTATTATTTTTCTCATATATGTTATCTGATCCTGATAAAATAAGAATTTTCTATAGTAAGTGCCTTGATCTGGCTTCTGAGTTTTGACCAGGATTTGTATCAAAAGATCTAAGCAAATCATTTTCCCCCCTTCCTTTGGTTATCATTGTTGATAAAGAAACGTGTATTTAAGGCATAAGTCGGCATAAGTGAATAAATGATCTGCTCGAGACACATATGCGATGTACAGCTGCCTAAAGACAGCTTTGTTACCTTCCTTCTGATTATATCTGTTAAAAACAAGGGAACCCCAATCTCATCTAACATATTGAAGTCTATGGACATTCTGTATGTTAAGTTTGAATAAGGAAACAAAATGAAACTTACTGTAAGATCCTGCCGTATAGATTTGAACTGTTCACATACAAAATGATATTTATTCTTTTTCTTCCAGCATTCCTTCACATGCTCTAAAGATTTCCTCAAAATTTCCAGTGGGCGGATTTGACTAGCATCTGGTGCCTGCAATGTTGTTAACATATCAATAAGTACAAAACTAGACAAAGATATATATTTTGGTATACAATTCTTGAAAGATATTTACTACGATAAACGTTGTACTAAATAGTGGAATACAAACTTGAAAAGTAAATGGCACTGATACTCCAAAATCACTTAAATCCCTTTTCAATTTCCTGGTTATTACATTAAGCAAATTATCAATGAATTCTATAGAAGGTATTCTAGCAAATTGGGAGTCCTGGGTCAGAAAATGTGGATTAAAGGAAAAGCTTAAACCACAGCATTTATTAACTTACAGTTGTGAGTCTAAGATATGGTTTTTCTATGTCTTGACAAATTCCAACCACATCAAAACTGGCGAGATCTAGATCCTCTTCATCCGAGTTCTGAAATAGAAAATGAAGATGTGTTTAATAAAACCAAAAATAATAAAATTATGCAAATGTAAGCTGTATATAATGATCAAATTTCTGACTACTTCCAAATAAAATGATACTTGTTGTGTTGGGAGGACTGATTAGAACAATTATGAAGTTGTAACTTATTTAAATGACTTACTGTGTATGTATTTATAGATAATGTTCGGTTTTGCTTTTGCTTTTTTGCCTCATTTCCTAAGTGATGTTCAAATCTAGCTGCTCTCTTGAGTAGCTTTGCTTCCTTATCAGGATCATCATCCACTGGAAACTGGCTGTAAATGAGAAAACCATCACAAAATTAAAATTTGTTACAAGATTAAAGGCCCAAGACAGCAGGTAGGAGAAATTCAGCACATCTGTTTGGATGGTAAGGCAGGTCTTTTCTTCTTTTAATCATGTTTAAAAAAATGAAGTATATACAAAACAAACAAGGCTTCTTGATTGTAAACATCCCTTTCTCAACACAACTCATGTATATTAGAGAACACCTCAAACTGGAAAATTTTAGAGATTTACTGCTAATTGCTTAAAAGCCGAAGTATAAATTTGATTAAAACCCTTATAAAGCTAATCACCTCTAAACCATTCTCCTATGATACTATCTATACTTACGTTTTGGGTCGTTTTTTGTTGTTCTTTTTGTTGAATGCCACCTCACTACTGGGCTTTTTACTGCTGGATCCCTTGTTCTTGCCACGCACATCAATACTGTATTTCCTGCCACCTCGTCCTTGACTCCGGAAGCTGTTTTTCCTGTGGTCTTTTGGTAGGTGGTATGGACCATCAGAGTAACTAGAGTTGCTGTCTGAACTGTATATAATAGTACTGGTCGATTTAAAGCAATGAAAGACCTTAGAATTTCTTGTCTGAACTGTCCATGATAATAGTACTGGTCGATTTAAATCAATGAAAGACCTACAAATTTCTTGTCTGAACTGTATATAATAGTACTGGTCGATTTAAAGCAATGAAAGACCTCAGAATTTCTTGTCTGAACTGTACATGATAATAGTACTGGTCGATTTAAATCAATGTACATGATAATAGTACTGGTTGATTTAAATCAAAGTACATGATAATAGTACTGGTCAATTTAAATCAATGTAAGACCTTAGAATTTCTTGTCTGAACTGTACATGATAATAGTACTGATCGATTTAAATCAATGTAAGACCTTAGAATTTCTTGTCTGAACTGTACATGATAATAGTACTGGTCGATTTAAATCAATGTAAGACCTTAGAATTTCTTGTCTAAACTGTACATGATGATGAGTATGAGATCCTAATTCTTAATTTTCTTTTTACCAGTGAGGGGGAACTAACTCCACATGAATTAAAGTTCAAGATGATATGGTTGTGAAAAATGTCTATTGAATATGATTTGTAGAGGATCTGCACCTTCCACTTCAGCACACTATGCAAGTTATGATTTGGATTCTAATAAAATGGTTAAGGATATTTCCAGTAATGAAGAGTATTTGTGCACTGGAGGCATTTAATTTTTTTTTTAATTTAGCCAATTTAGATACAATACTCCACTGCTAAATAATTGGTTGAGTTGTTCTACGAATGCTTACAAAATTAAGAAATATTACATTGTCAGAGTAATATATATAATAATTGAGGACAGTTTCCTTGGGCTGGTAATCATTTTTAGATACTGATTTATATGGCACAACAAAATAATGATTTGTTAATGAAGATCATTATAAGATATATATTTAAGTGATAAATGTACCTGTATTTTTGTAATTATAGTGTTACCTGGAGTGTCTCTGGCGCCTCCTCCGAGGAGATGACGATCGTGACCTTGAACGTCTTCTGCGGTGTACAGGTGACCTTGAGCGTGATCTAGAGGAGCTTGAGCTTGAAGTAGAGTAGGATCTTGACCTGTATGTGGGCACTCTGTCTCGGTTGTAAACACTCCTTCCTGTTGGTTGGGTCTTGCCGGATGACAACTGAGCACCACGTCCACGTCCTCGCCCACGCCCGCGCCCACGGTTGCTATTGGGCTGCCAGGGGCTATTTTTTGTGATGTTACTGTTACTTGGACCCTGTTGTTTGCCTGGAGTGTGCTGTGGCATACTGAAGATATAAAATCTTTGTCATTAAAATGACTCTATATACTTCCTTTTACCAATGTTTTCAGTTTTCAAACTTATATGCAGGTATACAGAGATTTCTGTTATACAGAAAACACTTGCTCAAGGGGATGATTTAATGAAGTTAGGAATATTTTTACCATATAACAAACTCCATTCTTACCTGAAGTCTATACTCAATTTGTACACAGTGTACTCTCCTATACATAAAAACATACTTTTTTGCTCATATTAAATACGGAAGAAATTAATATCTCTAGCAAGACCATGAAAAACATTTTAAATGGAATAGTTTAGTACATGTAGGTACATTTATGATATAACTTAAAGCCTTAGAATCTCCAAGAAACAAAGTGACCATACTAAAAAACAGCTACAAATTATCGTATTATCAACTATGATAACTTTCATGAGGAGTTATATTTTTGCAGTACTTATCCATTTCAAATGCATTTGCTGACTTGAGTAACACCATGTATGATGAGAACATTATAACATATGTGTACTGGAGAATCTACCAAACTGTCTCCCAATACAAATTCCCCCCCACCCCCCCAAAAATAATTCATGTCTCCCAAACATGAAATACCCTCTGTATAAAAACCGATATAAAAGTGAATAAGCCTATGCATGAAATTTGACAATACTTACTGTTGTAAACGTTCTGTAGGGAGAGGTTCCTTTGTCCAATCAATAGTGAAAACAGCACCTGACTTGAAATAGTTTGTAAGACTGTCTTTCAGAAACGTTTCTATAGCATCCTTTTGGCTTTCATCTTTAGCACTAGCAAATGCCCTTTGGACATATTGTCTGCAAAAACAATAAAGCACGTGTTCTTTAGGTATGGAAGTTCTTTCATTCCTTGATACAGAACACTCCTACTATTAAAACTAAAACTTTCAGGAAGGCTTTTCTTTATTGGAGATGACTTTCATGTGTTCAGGAAGGCTTTCCTCTATTTCTGTATTTTGAAGTATTTATTTATTTTCTTTCCAGAATGAATATTGTAGTACAATCCTAATTGAAATGAGAGGCTGAATCACCATTGTTTTTCTAATTTAGGAAAGTTAATCTTTATCTGAAACAAGAAATGGATACTAACCTGAGAGCTGGGGGCCACTCCTGGTTAGGACCTGCTGCAATATTGGCATCCCCACTGTCACTGACTCCATTTCTTCAAAGAGAGAGAAATTATGTTACAAGTACTATATATTAAAGAGATGCCTACAAGTATGTAGTCTGCAATAAATATTGAAAAGTTTATTTCATTGAAATACAATTGCAGATATGTTCAAAACTGGACATTGGGTAGTTTTAACTAAATTGAAGATATATGCAGCCATGAAATATTTTTGTAGTATGTTTCAGTATATCACCTTCATAAAGGTATCATCAATTACAGCATAATCACTTCAGTGAGCCCACTGTGAGTCAACTCTCAGGTAAAAATCCACCATAACAATGGCATACTGGGTCATCCGCTTTAAAATCGAGAGTCTTGACTAGTTCTGGCATTTTAAATGCGTCTTCATCAGAACAAATTCTAACTTTCAGGTATAATGTATAAAAAGCAGTATCTTGATTGGTGACATGTAAAAAAACATAGGTAATACTAATAACAATTATCTAATACATAAACAAATGACATCATAAATGGCTGCATAACTACCTTGTTCAACGTTCCGTGTATTAGATGGTAGTGTGCTCTGATTTTGTGTATTTTTAACAAATAGAATGGTGTCCAGCAGACCATTATATCTTATGATATTTTGGGGGATTGTTAGATTGATAATGTAGTTCCTAGAATTAAAGCTGGATTCTAGTCAGTTACTTGGTAGACTTACTGCTGACACCACACAAAAGTTCCCAGGTGTTTTCAAGGTTGTTTACGTTGCTCCTAATTTCTTTACCTGGAGTTTGTGATTGACATGGATGATGGAGATTATGGACGGGACATTATTATCTGGAAGCCGTGATTTATGTGTCTCATTGTTATATCTTTTCTCCTATGGTATTTACAACATACAGAACATAAAAACCTTGAGCTTCACTGCAATGCTTCACTCAGTCATAACTGAAAACGATGACCACTCTTTGGGTTTTTGTTGAAGGTACTGACCGTGGCGGATGTTTAATACCATACAGTTATGTGGTTTACAGATTGTGGTTTACAGATGTGGATTGAAAGCCTGGATGATTGCTGTGCAAATGGTATCAGATAAGATGTTCCATGAAGGATTCAAATTCTTCACATGAGAAAGTCCTTACAATGAACTTCTCAAGAAGTTTAAGAGGCTGTTCTAAGAAAGTCGGTTTCCAATCTGTCCATGAATAGAATGGCATAGTGGCATAGAAAAGATACAACAATACGACACATAAAGTCAAGTCTTCCACATAATGACATCCAGTCCCATCATGCATCCAGGTGCAACAATCCCTACCTTGAAAAAATATCACGTTTTTATATCAGCCATGGGTATGAACAAAGCACAAGTTGAATACAAATCACAACAGGGCAGTAACCTGTTTTCCATCTACTTACTCTGAGGGACTATTTGATGGTTGTTGCATTTGTTGTTCATTAGATGTATTTTCTTGGTTTTCAGCCTTGTATCTTTGATCCTGTGGCTTGCCTGGTCGAGGGCCACGAGGAGGAAAATGTCTGACATTTAAGTTTTGTTGTTGATAATTGTTTCCTCCTTGTTGTCTTTTTGGGATCTGAAATCTTATGCCTTGCACACCACCTGGATCTGGTTAAAAATGAAAATCTAAATTAAGTATTTGTTACATCTGCCAAAGCATAATAAAGAGACATACTTGATAGTCCTGGGATTACGATTACTTTCACTCTATGCACCCCTGGAACACTACTCCAATAGTGTTAAGAGGTTTTACACTTTGAGGAACTTCTGATAGGTGCCATGTAGTCGCAGTCAGCACAATAATGAGATAACAAAATAGTCCACTAGCTGCCTCTTACGTTATAAAAGTATATGGTCTCATACTTGCGTACTTGTACGCTTCCCCATTTTTTAAAATCCTGCCAATTATTTTTGTCTACATTTAAGAAGCTGCATTGGTATATATGCCGCACATCTGACTCAAAAGGAAAAAAAGTGTGGCTTATAATTGGGGAAATACAGTAATCCCTCCTAAGGACCAATTACAGTACACTTATTCCCATTCCTTTCTAAGACAACACATAATACATTTTGATCCTTCTTAAGGCCCACACTCAGTACACTAAATGCCCTCTTTAGGACAATATACAGTACCTTTTTATCCTTGTTCAGGCACACAGGGTACACTAAATGCCCTTTTTAGGACAATATACAATATCTATTATTCCTTCTTCAGGCCAACAGAGTACACTAAATGCCCTTTTCAGGACAATATACAGTAGCTTTTATTCCTTGTTCAGGCACACAGGGTACACTAAATGCCCTCTTTAGGACATTTTTATTCCCTCTTTATGACCATACACAGTACACAATTCTCTCCCTATGATCACATATAGTATGTCAGATTTCTTTCATAACAAGTGACTGAAGCCCCCATTACATGTTGCTAATTCAAGTTGCCTTGGTCCTTTCAATGGGTGTTGATTGAGTCCTGCATTATATCAAACACTATCTCATCATTTACTTACGTCTTGGCCTGTTCTGAAATCTTGGTCCGCGAGGCCCATGATTTGGAATTTGCCTAGGACGGAATTGTGGCTGTACATGTTGGTTTTGACTTTGATTATTATTACGTAGTGGTCTTTCATCAATATCCATGGTATTTGGCATTGAACTTTGATTGTCCTCTGGTGGTGGTGGAGGAGGTGGAGCACCATATCCGTTGAAATTTCCATGCTAAAAATACAAACTTCATTAAATCATTTTTGTTGATGTGTTTTATTTTCTGCTGACAAATTTCAATTCTTGCCTCTATTTTAATATATTCCACTTGCTAGATCAAAACATTTGAATACCCTTGATTTTCCTTTATTACAAGATTATTCATTTCTGATTCAGCACAAAATGATTCAAACTTCAAGACGTGTAAATACATATATTTGCAGATGCAAAGTTAACAATATATTGCCAGGATTGTTGTTTTGATAAACATCAGAAAGCTTGTCCTGTATGAAGTGTTCACACACATGTAGAATTCTGTGTGAATGCTCATTTACTTCTGTGTAGCGTCTGCTAGCACAGATAATAGCCGCTGTGTGTGGATATCACTTTTAATCTGGAATTCTACTGTGGAGAGATCATGTTATCATTCACCTTAAGCAACATTTGAGGGATTACAATAACACCGCACAGAAAATCAACTGATGAGCAGTTTCTTATGCAATGTAAAGAAGATTTGACAAAGCCTCCAGTTAAAATAGACATGGGCTACTGAACTTATTTGTTCAATTCCCTTTTCTTGGTAACTTTTCCTTTGCTGAACATGTGTCTGTCTAACAATGTTTTGATATCTGCTTTTTGTTTTGTTCAATGTATATATAACAAAAATAAAATCAGACCATAATGTTTGAGTGTCCCTCTTTAATGTTGTTTTAGGGCCACTGAAATTAAACTACTCATTATGTACATGTACATGCTAGTGATATATGGTCATATTTAAGTTCCACCTGTACTTTTCTATCATTGACAAATTTCCAGAGAAAGTGTGACCTAAACACCCAAGGGAATCAATAACCTAATGATATTGTAAAACCCTTGTGTCAAATATGGGGAAAAAAAATCCCTTTGGAAAGATTGACACTAATGATTTGTTGATTTTATATGAACAGTAGCAGCAACCTTTAGTAAAAATTCACAATGGAACCCATCAACATTGTCGAGATATTTTATAGTTGACCTTTACCAAAAGATCAATAAAAATCCCTCAGGAAATGAATTTGTTACAGAGGTGACATTTTCTTTGAACAAGATGGATACAAGTATTACGATAAGACCCCCAGCATTTAGACAGACATACCATTCTTGGACCTGGTTCTTGTTGGCCATAAACAGGATAGTTTGTCCCAGGATAATACCTGTAAAAAGACAACGAAAAAGAAAAAAATGCAAAATGAAGTTGAAGAATATCACCAACACACAACTTTCAAAACAAGAGTTAATATGTTATCTTTTATTTGTACCCCAAGTCTGTATCTTTATGTTCAAGCGAACACAAAACACACCTCGCAATTCACAAATGCTTTACTTTTTTACCTCAAAGTATAACTCTTCAATTGATCTTATAAAACTAGCTGATATCTTACAGTAATGGTATCAATTTGATTTTAACCTAATTCTGAAGAAAACTTCACATACTGTAAAAAAAATTCCTCAGGAAAACATTGTTAATGTGCATTCACCTATATGAAAAGATCCATGCAAACAATTTTGAAATAAGTTCTTACTGTGGTTGTTGGTAGTACATATTGTATTGCTGGTAATACATCTGTGCAGGTGTATTCTGACTAATATCATTCGATTGTTCAGTAGAACTTTTAGACTTATTTGGAGATGTGCTTGATCCGCTTTCTCCTTGAACTTTTTCTAAAGCCTTTCTTGCCTTTTCCCATTCAGGATTCTGGAAGACTGTACTATTTCCTGTTCCATTCTCAGAGGGAGGTTGGCTTCCCCTACAAAACAATCATAAGATAGCCCATCATTCAGAATGCACAGCAACAAATTCATAGACTAGGTATATATATTGTCTGTTACTATATACAAAAACAGAAATGGAGGAGCTTACTTCTGAGCTAGAAACACTGACCACTGGCTTCGAGTCTAGCTCTACCATTCATTGTATGATTTTACACTAGTCTGAAGGGGTCCAGTTATCTGGGATTTTGACAGCATATTTACAGTGGCCACCATTTTATGAAATCTCACTGGACTTGTTCTTGTAAACATTTCTGCCTATCTCGTAAATTTACTTTTTGGTAGGTTCTTAATGACAGCTGTAGAGAGATTATGCTAGAAAGTAAATTTGTTGGGAAACATGACTGGAAATACTAAGTTTACATAATTGAATTGCTTTGATACATATGCAAGTCCGTAAAAATGTTTTTTTTTATCATTCGATTGACCTATATTTAACTATTGCTCTACTGTAATATATATATGACATTGCCATCCATGCGCAGGTCTCTAGAAACTCGGTATTTTTTTTTAATTGGGAAGGCTGTTGACCATGATCAAGACAAAAATAAAATCGTGGATTGGCCTTCAGACTAATTTTGCACCTAACGGTATTCTCTTTTCATGATATTTAGCGGGAGGAAACTACCATTAGTTATTTAATTAAGTCGTCTCTTTCCTACATAACGAAATGGTAAAAGGGGAGTCGGCCATCTTGGTTCATAAACACGACAACTCTTCAGTAGACTCACTCGTCTTTTCTTTAAAACCATACTTAATATACTGAGTATTTAAATAAAACTAAGATCGTTATTTACCAAGCCCCTGCTTGAATGGCTTGTTGTGCTGTAAAAGCCGCAGCAGCCATGACTCTGCCCGTTTTGTTGCGTGCTTGTGTACCTTCCTTCTAATGAATCTAATGTGACGTCATGAACAAGTTGATGAATACTAAGTTACTCCATTTTTACGATTAGACGAAAAAGCGGAACGCATTAGATTTACACTGTTAAATTTAAATATATTAGACAGTCAATATATTTGAAGTAAAGTATTGATCAGTACATAACGTAAATCAAGGTTTGGTTTTTCAAACTGTTTTCGCATTGCAATATTATATTACTTTATTCAAAGGTATACTGCGATATAACACCACGCTGTGTTTTAGTTAGGGCAGAGACGTATTTATCGTATCGTCTCTGGTTAGGGTTTTTCTTTGTAGAACAAACTTGTAAAACCACGGACTTGTCTATATTTAAGTCCGTGGTAAAACATTGCAGTGATTAACTTAAAACTACATAATTTGAGCACCACACAAGTTTGAGAGCACAATAATGTGGAGTTTTTGTAATAAGTTCTGCAATAAAATCCCCGAAACAGTTGAAGAAAGCGCGCGACGGGTCTTATTGTGGGAGGAAACCGGAGTACCTGGAAAATCCACGTGGTCAGACAGGTGATGTGTTCAAAATTATTTAATGTGTATAAAAAGCTGGGAAAAGGACCATATCAGTTAAACGAAACACCAAACAAATATATCACCCAGAACTTAGAAGATCCTCAACATGGACAGGCAACAAGTGCTCACCATACCAGCACATTAACAACATTTTGGCCGCCATCTTGGCTAGTGTTAGAAACCGAATTATCCACAAATACATTTAGTGGCTTTGATTTTCAAGAAAATTGTGTTTCCATGCGATAGTTTGAGGGCTACAAACTCAATGTATTTACAAATATCAATGTACATATATGGTCATCGCAAACTTGCCCAATCAACTACCGAAATGCCTAAATTTCTTTTTAGTTCTGAATTTCAAAGATGTAGATATGACAATGAAGCAGTGGAGTTGTCAATTTGAACTAATGTATAATAATCTAGAAGTACGCTAAAACTCAGGATACACGTCGGCATAAAAGCGAGTTATGTGGCCCGAACTTGAAACCGAAGATATACCTTTAAATTCACGAATAAAATGGACGTTCTTGTCACGGGCCACCATTTTCAGTCCCGTCCAACAGACTGATGTTTTAATAGGGCATATAGACTCGTGTAGAATAAGGGAGACCCATATAAACATACTCAGCCGGTCAGGACAGGTCTCGGATGATGATGATGATGATGATGATGATGATGATGATGATGATGATGATGATGATGCTAGTTAAGAGGGTGTGGGGGTGGGTGGGGTTGGGTATACAGACCCGGCTAGCCTAAATGGGAAAGTATTTTTGGATTTACAAGGAATGTTGAGTTGAAGCCGCAAGGTTGTTAAGAACAAAAAGAACATGTAACATTTTTTTCTTCTGAATTATTAGCACTGTTAAAATATACAAAGATTGTTTACTCGCCGCAAAACGTAAGAAAGGTTCGTCTAACTTTTCTCTGTCAATGTTTAAAATAGTTAAAACACTTTCCTTGTCTCGCAGGCTACTTGTTTGTCATCATGTGAATCTAATCTAATATGGAACAAGGAAACCACGCGTACACGTGCACTGCAACAAAAAGCATGAGTATGGAATGCCTACTATTTACCACTGTGCTCCTGCTTACGTAGGTCTGCTGCTATAAATACATCAGTGGTACTCATCGTGCTGTACACTGTAGACAGGACTGTTCGTTCTTACACACGGTCACATATATTTCACACACTGCATTGCTTTGAAAACAGAAAAAAGTATGTCACTTGACCAAGTCTCAAATGGAGATGCTCGCGGTCGAAGTACATACAAACTGGACCAAATAAACATGCATAGTTTTTATCTTCACGGTTGTCCTAACTTTTACGTTTCATTTGCTTTATTTCACATCTTATGTAAGCTATACTTTTACTTTGTTATCGATTGTAAAAGCTGTTAACAAAGTAACAATTCATATTTACATGTAGGTAGGCGTCTATTCTTGACTTGTCATAAAACCAGAAACTCAAATACATGTATGTGAAAGTAAATTCCCCTGCTCGATAACCAATAATCGACGTTCCGCTTCTTTGATTGGTAACATATTGCGAAAAATATATCAATCTCGTTCAGCGAAAACTAGATGCTGTAAAACGATTTTTCATTAGTCAGTCAAATCGAGCTAAATTGACATTCGCCAATCACAACTCTCGTATCAAAGAAGGTACTTGTTGCTCCGACGAGAAATCGTGAAGCATGGCTGCTAACTCTGATGAAGAGCAAAGTCTCAAGGAGTGTGAGAATTATGTTCAGAGGCACAACGTTCAACAATTATTGAAAGAATGTATAGTTCAACTATGTATGAACCGCCCTGATAACCCTGCCACCTTTTTAAAGGAACATTTCGAACGAATGGAAAAGGTAAGTGTTTACGATATCACTTTCATCTGTCATTTTCGTTGTCGTTTCAATGTTTGTTTTTGGATTATTTTTGGCAAGGTGTGTGGAGAATCTCTGACGCGATTGCAAACATTACTGTCATGGATAAACATTTTATAGATGCAGGAACTGTCCCAGTAATGAAATAAAAACGCAACATAATGATATATATACATAAATAAAAGATAATGAAATAAGATGACCAGCACTAAAAGAAACAAATGTAAACAATGTTGTAACACATAAATGTACAATCTGAAAGCATAGAATTTGAAGAAAGATATGAATGCATTAATTACTGATAACAACAAAACAATGCATGGACTCAAAGTTATGAAAGTACCTGGTATATATAAACATGTGAACATAGATCTGTAGTAATTTCCAAATCTTAATTGGAAATAAGGTGAACTATCTTTTTGGTTATCACCAAAATATTAATGGCTTTTTGATACGAGTGTTTATGACAGCTTTTGTACGACTCTTTTTCACTTTGCCTATTTTCCATACCATACCAAATAGTAGCCTTTAGGATCACATGATGTGTGATGTTGTCATAAGGCCTATAATACTATCAAATAGTAGTCTGTGGTTTCACATGGTATGTGACAATTTCATTTTGCCTGTAATACTGTAAAACAGTAGTCTAGCAATTCACATGGTGTATGACATTGTCAGTAGGCCTATAATACTGTCATACACTACAGTTGCCTGTGATTTTGACATATGTGACATTATTTTTAGACCTTTGAAACTGTCAAACAGAAACCTAGTAATTCAACTAGGGTATGCCATGGTCATTAGGCCTATCATACTGTCAAACATTGTACATGATGTGCAAAATTTTTAATATGCCTATAATGTTGACAAACAATAGCCTGTGGATTCACATGATGTGTGATATTGTTGTTAGACCTTTGAAACTGTAAAACAGTAACCTATTAATTCACCTGGTGTATGAAGTTATCATAAGGCCTATAATACTCTAAAACAACAGCCTAAAAAATCACCTCTGTGTAGGACGATTTTATCAGGCCTGTACTACTGAAAACAGTAGCTTAACAATCACCTTGGTATATGAAAATGTTATTAGGCCTATAATACTGTAAAACAATATCCTAACAATTTGTGGTGTATGACATTGTCATGTCTATAATACTGTGAAGCACAAGGCTAACAATTCATGTGGTGTATGACATTGTCATGTCTAAATACTGTAAGAACTAGTCTAACCATTCATTTGGTGTATGACATTGTCATGTCTATAATACTGTGAAGCACAAGGCTAACAATTCATGTGGTGTATGACATTGTCATGTCTATAATACTGTGAAGCACAAGCCTAACAATTCATGTGGTGTATGACATTGTCATGTCTATAATACTGAAAGCACAAGGCTAACAATTTGTGGTGTATGACATTGTCATGTCTATAATACTGAAAGCACAAGGCTAACAATTCATGTGGTGTATGACATTGTCATGTCTAAATACTGTAAGAACTAGTCTAACCATTCATTTGGTGTATGACATTGTCATGTCTATAATACTGTGAAGCACAAGGCTAACAATTCATGTGGTGTATGACATTGTCATGTCTAAATACTGTAAGAACTAGTCTAACCATTCATTTGGTGTATGACATTGTCATGTCTATAATACTGTGAAGCACAAGGCTAACAATTCATGTGGTGTATGACATTGTCATGTCTATAATACTGTGAAGCACAAGGCTAACAATTCATGTGGTGTATGACATTGTCATGTCTATAATACTGAAAGCACAAGGCTAACAATTTGTGGTGTATGACATTGTCATGTCTATAATACTGAAAGCACAAGGCTAACAATTCATGTGGTGTATGACATTGTCATGTCTATAATACTGAAAGCACAAGGCTAACAATTCATGTGGTGTATTACATTGTCATGTCTATAATACTGTGAAGCACAAGGCTAACAATTTGTGGTGTATGACATTGTCATGTCTATAATACTGAAAGCACAAGGCTAACAATTCATGTGGTGTATTACATTGTCATGTCTAAATACTGTAAGAACTAGTCTAACCATTCATTTGGTGTATGACATTGTCATGTCTATAATACTGTGAAGCACAAGGCTAACAATTCATGTGGTGTACGACATTGTCATGTCTATAATACTGTGAAGCACAAGGCTAACAATTCATGTGGTGTATGACATTGTCATGTCTATAATACTGTGAAGCACAAGGCTAACAATTCATGTGGTGTATGACATTGTCATGTCTATAATACTAAAAGCACAAGGCTAACAATTCATGTGGTGTACGACATTGTCATGTCTATAATACTAAAAGCACAAGCCTAACCATTCATTTGGTCTATGACATTGTCATGTCTATAATACTGTGAAGCACAAGGCTAACAATTCATGTGGTGTATGACATTGTCATGTCTATAATACTGAAAGCACAAGGCTAACAATTTGTGGTGTATGACATTGTCATGTCTATAATACTGAAAGCACAAGGCTAACAATTCATGTGGTGTATGACATTGTCATGTCTATAATACTGTGAAGCACAAGGCTAACAATTCATGTGGTGTATGACATTGTCATGTCTATAATACTGTGAAGCCCAAGGCTAACAATTTATGTGGTGTATGACATTGTCATGTCTATAATACTAAAAGCACAAGGCTAACAATTCATGTGGTGTATGACATTGTCATGTCTATAATACTGAAAGCACAAGGCTAACAATTCATGTGGTGTATGACATTGTCATGTCTATAATACTGTAAAACAGTTTATGTAGGTTCTTGTAATGTATGACATTCAAAATGATTTTCAGAGAAAAAAGCACACATAAGTACAGGTTGACTAGGCTTCCATGCAAGTTATGTAACATCTCTGTATCTGGAAGATGAGGGTTGAGGTGGTGGAAAGCAAGGAAAGATGGGGATCAGGTCTGTCAGAAAGAATAAGATGTGTACATATCTCTGTATACATATATTGTAACCTCCCCCCTTTTGGTAATTGGCTGTCTTTTGCCATTGCTTTGTCAGTATGTATGCTAGTTATTTGTTAAACTTTTGTACAAGATATCTGTTTAACTCTTACATACTACTTACGTTCACCATAGTGATAAAACAGAAGCTATTTTGATAGTGGTCATCAGGTCCAGGCTAAGGAGCAAAAAGTCCTACTTAAAGATAGACTAAATTGTACAAACAATCTTCTATGTTGTTGCATGGTATGTAATAATAATAATAAACATTCTCTATTGAGGATGAAACATGTTTAGCCAAATGGCTAATCTTCCACATGGTTCTCTTGTTAGTAAAATACATGGGTTAATTACAAAATTAAATGACAAGAACGGTTCACACTATAACATAAAGCAGAATCACTATATAATAAGACAAAATAACCTAAAAACCTACCATCACATCATTTGTTAAGTTAAAAATATCACAGAATGGACAATGATCATGTAAAGTTGTTACATCAATTTAATGGCTATTGCCTAATATACATGCTAACATAGCAAAACGTAAAAATTGACCTAGTTATACTCTAGCATAATCTAAAGTAATTTTATTATCAAATTAAGAGATGAAATTTAAAAAGTATGAAGATGTGTGATAAGCTTTTGTTTAAAACTGGGAAATGTGTTTATAGTCTTTAACTCATTTGGAAGTCCATTCCAAAGTTGGATACCAGCAATAAGAAACTGAAAATTTTCAAAAAAGGTGTATTTTCTATAGCTAATCAAATTTTAGTAGTCATAGGTCAAGAAAAATTGATGACATGAATATTGTGAACATTTCAATAAATTCAGTTTATATTATAAATATATATTTCATATTTTCCTTTTCAAATGGAGTTTAGATTTGACAGGTGATATGTGCTTGCTTATCTTCTGTGGTTGATGACATCTTTTGCTGCGTTTGATCTGTACATCAGAAGATATTCTTTCTACCTGATGTTCTCTTCACTGAGAAATGTAATGAAGTATTATGATATAATGTACAATATTTTAACAACTTGTTTAAACAAAATATTTACTGTTTATAATAAACTGAATCTGGCTTGAGTAGCTACTAGCTATCACACACCAACATCAGAAAAATAACATCTTACAAAATTAAATCACTTTAATATATGTCACATTCAAGGCTGTCAAAATCTTTGATAGTTTTCATGATTTACTTTGTACAAGTAAATGATTTGTGTTATTTGCACTTACCCTTAAAGTGCTTTTGTACAATGTTTATATGCAGGTGTCCCCATCATGTACTTGATTTTTTAATTATTATAGTCTTAAGTGACCTTTAGTCTTTAGATGTACTTGGAAATCAATGAGTTGTAATGCTAAAGATTAAGTCAAGAATTTGTTATAATATCATGAACATGATTTAACAAAACTTAGTAGCCTGGCTAATTACTGGTTGTTAAGTTGTTAGCTATCACCATCATCAGTGTGTGTGTTTTACATGCTAGTGTTGATGAGACTGCAATGATTGTTATAGCTGTAGATTAGTGTGGTACAACTTCCATGTCCCTAAAACTCCTCACTTGTATATCAATCAGAATTTTAAGGAGGGTTCATAGTAAATGTATGTTAGATAGTAAGTCTTGTCACAAGTACCTAAGGCAAGAAATATCGGGTATTTATCTATGTATGGAAATTTAATTAACTTTTAACTAAATCCATCAATTTGAAACTATGTTTAGATTAATATAAAACAATGGCGATGATACATTTGTAGAAAACGTTTCTCCTGGAAATCCCTCCGAATGCCCCTGTTATGTAAGAGATAATATCTACATGTAACAATTGTACAAATGACTAAAAAAGAACGGATAAATGTCAAGGAGAAGTCCATCTTGTTTTCATCTCTATTCTTCTGTGTGTAAAGATTTCTAGTTCCTTCTATTGCTCACTTACCAGTCAGTGTTGTGTCCAGATCCTCGTCTTCTTAAAACTCTGA